AGCCTGCAAAAAAAATAAAAGAGCGGTGATGATGCATTTGGAGACAAGAAGGCAGCTATGAGTGTTGCAAAGGAATGTCTCTTGGCTGCACTAAGATCGGATCCAAAGGCAGCACATGCATGGGTGAATCTCGCTAATTCATATTATATGATTGGCGATCACAGAAGCTCTAGCAAATGTTTGGAGAAGGTGCTCTCATGGCTCTCACTTCTGTAGCTTCTTTGTCTTGAGGTTGTTTGGTGTTTTCCTTATCGTCGAAGGAAGGGTTTCGTCTTGTTTCTTATTTCGTTTCTCACGATTCCCTCATGATTCCCTGAGAGAAATTTGGGTAATTGAATAAAGTAGTCAAAATAACTGGATATTCAACTTTACTCAATTGGACAGAAGAAAAAAACTTGTGTAATCTACAATACCTGCCTGAACTAGCCAGCTTGGGCCGCGTTCTTTTCATAAACCCGTGTTTTCTGTGGACTGAATTTCTTGTTTTCTCCTCTCAGGCGGCGAAACTTGATACCAACTGTATGGCTACTCGATTTGCTGTTGCTGTCCATCGAATCAAATATGCAGAAAGGTCTCAGGATGCAAGTGACCAACTTTCGTGGGCTGGGAACGAGATGGCTTCAGTAATACGAGAAGGAGAGTCTGTTCCTATTGACCCTCCCATTGCTTGGGCAGGACTCGCAATGGTTCACAAGGCACAACATGAAATCTCAGCTGCTTTCGTAGCTGACCCGAATGAATTGACTGACATGGAAGATCGTGCAGTTTACAGCTTAAAGCAGGTACGTGTTTTTTTTTCCTGTGTCTAGACAGCGAAGAAGATTTAGCATTCCTCTTGGTTTGGTCGTATCGGCAACCGTAATTACACTGCAAGAAATGGCAGTATTCATTCAGTACCCCTACGTGATGTTGTTACAGATTCGGTTTGTCCATCGTACTTTGTTTTTTCCGACAGTAAATGCAGATACATCTTCTGATGTTCCTTGCATGGAAAAGATTTCCGTCTCATTTTTTTTCTCTTTCTCTCTTTCTCGTCGCCATAGGCAGTAACTGAAGATCCAGATGATGCAGTCCAGTGGCACCAACTTGGTCTTCATAGTCTTTGTTCACAACAGTATAAACTTGCACAGAAGTACCTCAAGGCAGCGGTTGCACGTTCCGGAGAATGTAGTAGCTATGCGTGGTCGAATCTCGGTAAATGCTCTCTACTCGAATCTACATTTATCGTAGCAAAACCAATTATTTCATGATTCACTCTTTATTAGAGAGAATAGGTTATATGCTTGCAAATTTTATCTAGTTGTGCAAGTTTGAAGTCCATAAACAACAGTCTCTGTTTCCATGTCTCTATCTGGACAGCTGACAAGTTTTACCGAATGTTTGCCTCAAGTCTTGTATAAACGAATCATCGTGCTATTTCATGTTGGGGTGGGAGTTAAAACACAATACCCACGGGTTCCTGGGTACCCGTCTCACGGTTACGTGGAATGTGGGTGCTTAGCAGTGAATGAGGTCAAGCACGGGTGGGACTTATACCCCTGGTTTTTAGGCTGATTACAATAATATACAGGTCTATTTTGTGGATAATTACTATTATACCCCTGATGGTCACCCTAATTTCATGGCGGCCGAAGTAGGATTATCCTAAATTCTTGGCGTGATGGACACAAAAGTAGTTGAGGGTCCATCCAAACATAGTTCTGGTTCAGATTCTTGCAAATCATGTTTTATCGCTAAACTCACAAGTGTTGGACCAGGTATCTCGCTGCAGTTATCTGATGAGCAATCGCAAGCCGAGGAAGTATACAAGCGAGCCTTGGCCGAGGCGACACTGGATCAGGCACACACTGTATACACCAACCTCGGGAATCTGTACCGCCAGAAGAAGCAGTACGAGCTCTCAAAGGCGATGTTCTCAAAGGCGTTGGAGCTAAAACCCGGGTATGCACCCGCGTATAACAACCTCGGCCTCGTTTTCGTGGCGAAGGGTCGGTGGGAAGAAGCGAAATTCTGCTTCGGGAAAGCCCTCGAAGCCGATCCTTTGCTCGACGCAGCGAAATCCAACTTGCTTAAAGCCACGACCATGTCCAGGTTGTGTTCTTGCTGCCTCTCTTCCTCTACTCCTGTTCCTGATTCTTGATGTGATTCTGTCTTGTCCAGAAAAAAAAACTTTTATTTTTTTTGTTGTTTCGTGAGTTCTTGTTAGGAAGGAGATAATGTAATATAAAGATGTAGTTTCGTGCACTGATCCTTGTAAAGATTTTGGAGTTTGGTTCTATAGATTCATTATTCAGCCTAGTAATAATTAACTTTTAGCGTAATATATGATTCAATCGTTTTTAAAATTGATGGTTCGTGTGGTTTATAACGTTTTAGAGGATATTGAATCATTTATACTTTTAGTCTATAATTGAATTTCACCTGGTCAATGAAAGGGTTTATAATCAATTATAAAAGAGGCGCGTAGATTTTGAAATTTTATATGACGTGGCGCGTTTTCATTGGTTGGAGGTCTAATCATATCGCTGAGTCTTACCTCGTCGACTGAGTTTGACTTGAGTCAAACTCAACCCATGAAATCCAAAGGATTCGAATGTCTCCATCACGCCAACCGAACACCACGTACTAGTGACCATTTTTGGTTATTAACTAAATACCCAAATCGATCCAGACCGACGAAGAATGTGTCCGGATAGTCCAAAATCACTTTCAGCAACCCGCGAATGAGTGCCACTTATTAAATAAAGAAAAAAAAATATTGTCATCTAAAAAAGACGGCTTTTGTTACCGTTTTTTAACGTCAAATTCAGATCTATTCTGATAACATCAGTGCACTTATATGACTACCAATTCTGTTCATCATGCTCGTTCGAAACATATTCAAATTAAGCAAATGGGCATTCAGAACACAATTGTTAGTTTATAGTGGGGAAATTTGAACATTTTAAAACCTTGAGTTTCGCCTTTAAAACAAGTTTTCTATTTTGAACATCTTAGATTTTGCAGAAAACCAGCTATATCAACTAATGTTATTCAATCAACTTTCAAAACCGTAATGAATTCCTCTGAAAAAGTCTAACTGAAGTCTTAGTTCATTGGACTTGTCGCTTTCTCAATCCAAAATCTAATATAAAATTCTAATAGTTATAATTTCTTTAAATCAAAAAAATCAAATTCAAAAAAAAACAAAAAACAAAAAAAATCGAAAATCCAAAACTAAAATTCTAATAGTTATAAAATTTTTAAATCCAAAAAAATTAAATTCAAATAAAACGAAAAACAGAATTTGAACCGAACCAAATCGAATCGGTAAAAATAATATTTTGGATTTTTGGAATGCAGTATATTTGCTCCAGCTTTCGTACCGCAATTTTCAAGGGCTGGAAATGCGAGGCTCGACAAGCCAAGTTAGGATCAAATCTGTTTAGATATGATATAGTATCATTAATTTCAATTTCATTACAAAATCAATCTATGAAATTTTAGAAGCTTTGCTCGAGACACACGTAAACTGAAGCTTCACAAAGTGCAAGACTAACAATTACAGTGTGTCATAAATCCAATAAAAGAGAGAATCAGGAAATTCTAGACGAACAAGAAAACAACATTACACTACATTACATTACATAACAGATGAAACAAGTCGTACTATTTTCTCAGATTGTGATATATAATAAAAACCCCAACCCCCGATGTAAAGGGTTTTTGTGATCAAGTCTCGACATTGGCCCTGTTTCCGGCGAGGATAAGAGAGATCTCGAGTCCGCGGCTGAATGCTTGGTTGAAGAGAAGACGCGACTGAAACATTGAAATGAAAGGGAACCATGATAGAAACGCTACCGGTGCAAATATTATCATTCCCATTCCAGCGTCATAGATGCGTGCGAATTCCCGGACCGTCTCCCACAAGCCTAGGCTCCGTATCAACCGTCTCCACGTAATAGCCAGCTGTTTCAAGGGATTCCAAAAAAAACACAAAAAAAATGTAAACCCTTGGCGTCTATTATGAGTTTGAGAGATGACAATTGTGACAGTGATGGAAACTTTCAGCAAACTTACACATAGGAATGCCCATCCGGTGGGGATGAAAGCGAGGACACTTGCAAATAGGTCGGGAACTGACAGAGGAGTTAAGCCAATGGCCAAGCCAATGAGAACGATAACGGTCAATGCTACCAGTCCCTGAAGAAACCGCAACGCCAGAAGCATGTTGCTCGACTTTTTCGGGCTAAACCAGAATAGCTGTAAGAACAAGATAAAGAAGTATGTTATATAGGACACAGATTTGTTAACTGCTGGGAAAACAGAAGAAAATCACTTTACATCTGGAAAACCGACAAAAAAGAAAGAGTAATGATGGGTAAAAGCAATTCGTACCTTGAATAACATCACAACTGCAGCCAATACAATCCATGAGTAGCCATAGAGCTTGAAAATCAGAGAATTTAGATTAAGTCGGATAATATCCAATATCAATAGTAATGAATTCAGTACTATACCAAGCAGCGCATTTTAACAATCAGCGCTCCCTTGTCATGATCAAGGGCAAGCAAAACAACTCCTAAAAATCATTTCCTCTATTTGATTTGTTCTTTTCTCTGCTCATCTAACTAGGCATCGAGACAATGCAATGCATGCACAAAGATGCGAATCTATCGCATATACAACACAGCCCCAATTTTAGATAGGTTGACTGAGGCATACCTTCCATACTTGAACTCCTTGGTTAAAAACACTAGCAAAGATAAAATAATAGCAGTCCTAAGTGGAAAAGTTGCAGAACATCACACTATCTGCCAACCAATAAAAATGCCTGAAAGTTGGCATGTTCCTCAGATACGCTCATAAAGCCATTCTAGCCACAGAAAGTCCAAAGATATAGGCAGTCCATGCTTCACACACCATATACAAATCGATGCTGTAAAAGTTAAAGCAGCTTTACCGCAAGTGATGTGCTTTTCCCTGTAAGATTGAGCTTATACACAATGCCATACTGGAACATGAAGAATCTCAAGCTCAAGATGCTCTCCAAGATCCTCCCTCTTAGTGTTTGGATATGCATCTGTACAGGAACACTTACCAAGATCATAAAATAATAATAATAATAAAACGTGACACAGAAAAACACAAAGAGAGAAGGCAAACCTGTTCTTCGTCCCACCAAGACTCCCAACTGTTGTCTCCCTTTACTCCAACCCCACCTTTGTACATAAGCCAGTTGATCCAATCCTCAAAGTCCTCGACAGTCCTGTTTGAAGCATAAGAGTTATAGGTCTGCCATATATGCATGTATAAGATATTCTTCACAATCTGTTCGCTGGAGAGCATCCATTTACTAAGAAACTGGACTATAACACTTACTTTTGCCATTCGAAACCAGAAGGGTTGAAAATATAGGGAGCAAACAGCCAGGATATAACAAGGAACCAACTGCTGACAGTTAGCAAAACAAAGGAGACAGCACCCCCATCTGTATACCCATAGGCAATGTAAACTATCAGTAGCAAAGCAACTTCAAGCCTGCAAAAAAAATAACATTCGAAGATGTCAGTAGCAATGATCACTACAGTATTCATATGACAAATGTGCTTCTGTTTTAGCTATCCTGGATGCTTGTAAATTTTGTATCAGTTCCACAGAAAAAAAACAGCCAGTAAGTGATTGACAATTGGGCTTACGCTTTGACAAAATGACTTCTAGAATAAAGTCTGTAGTTTTCAGCAAACTTGATATGGCGAACCACAAAGCCTCTTCCAGTCGCCCGATACTGTTGATGAAATAAAGAACAAACACACATTTGGAGAAGGTACAAAAGAGGTGGTAATCTCACGGTGGCATGTAGGATGGTCAAAACACAAGCAAGCACACCTTTGCGCCACCATGGAGGATAGTACGGCCAAAATAATGAGTCCTTGTTCCGAGTGAAAATGTGAAGAAGACAGAACACAGCTGAAATTGCATTGTAATGAAGCTGAAAATAGCCTGTGATACCAACAAAACGTAAGTTTTGGAGACTTTACACCTAAAGAGCCTGAAGAATTTAAGAACACATTACCAAACTTATGGGTGACCATGTACAAAAATTGGAACTATAGACTGAACATATAAGATAGTAACAGAAGAAATGAAGAGCAAAACAATGATAAATATCTCTAAGAACAACAGAGACAAACAAGCAGCTAACCTTCAGCAACCCGAGTTCAAGTATGAAACCCATAACCATAGGGACTGCAGTGAAGACTCCAATTTGGACCAAAAATTGTGCATTCAGAGCTGCATCCAATGCAGTGTTACCTGATAGCCTGGCTACCCGTGCGATTGCACGGTCAGCGCCAGAAAAAGCCTGAAAACAGACAAATCAGTATGTAAATTATCTCAAAAATTGCTTGCAGAAAGCATTGTAACTACATTCTTGAATTTTGAAAAGTCAACCATGTTACTTTGACTAGGATTACAGTCATGGACAAAGTAACTTTAAGCAATCAGATTGTTGAGCTCATAAAAATGTGCAACGATCAACTAGAAGTAAAATCTTAGAACTGCAAGCTATGTGGTGCAGAAAGCAGATGTAAGCAAACTATCAGTTGACATTGAAGAAAAAGAAAAGAAAGAGGGCAAAAACAATAAGTTCCATAACATACCAGGTACACTCTCCCATACAGAAAGACGTACACTGTGAGGACTGTCATCTGCAGCAAACAGAGTTCATTACTAGATGTGGTAATGGAGGAAACACACTGATAGAACATTAAACAAGGAACAGCACCATTGTGCAAACATAGAATCCAACTGTTGTGAAGTAGTAAGATAGCATCCTAAAGAAGTCAAACAGCTGCCCAAGCCTGTAAACATCCCTACTAAGAACTTGTTCCCCGTTTCCACCTGCTACTTTTCCTTCAAATAGAGCAATCTGATTTAGTCCGACATCTCTTCCTTTTCCAACCTACATGTAGTAACATGTATTCAGATCCCAAGGAGTTACAAGTCGGTGAAAAGAGACAGCGAATGCAGGAATATCCTCTACCTGGATATACTCGTGGTGGGTGACATTTCCCTGCCTGAGAGTGGAATTAAACCCTGCAAAAACATTATTTAGCTAAACCTATTTTTCCCAAAAAGATCATCTCCAAAGAATTTACAGAGTCAAGTACAGATGACATATGATATATAGATGACACTAACCAAGGCGTAAGTAGTTATGAGAGACAAACAAAGAACGTGTAAAAAAGAAGGCATTGCACAAGAGAGCCAACATGAGCCTAGATATGTTAATGATAGCTGTAAGTGGAAAACAATAATAGAAACTGCACTGAAAAAACTGTCTACTCAAAGAAGACTCAAATGAATTAACTAATCTACACATACCAGCATAAATATCTTCACTGATATTAATTACACGGGATGCTTTACTGATGCCGCCACGAGTGATGTGAAATATTCTATCAAACACATCTGGATGCCCATAGTGCATTCGGACTCTGCGTGATTAGTTTTGCACAATCAAAACCAAACAACCACTAAAATTGTTTTTGGCATTGAATTAACAAGAAACTGGAAAACTTGACATGTAAAGGGAATAACTAGAAGAAAAGGAGAAACAAGGAAAAAACACAATAATAATAAGAAAACTTGACAGCTCTTCTCCTCAGGTTAATGTCCCTACGTATTGTGAGAAAGTCAAATTTTAGACCATATATTGAAGTGGGAAGTGCGCATACTCACTTAAGCGGATATGCTAAAACACGTTGACCCAAGGTCACAAAACTGGTTTCTTGATTAGACATGAACCACGCCAATGATGAAACACTGCAAGATCAATCCCGAAACATGTAAAGAATGACAACATTAAAAACAATGAAAGTACATAACAGAAGAAACCTCGTTGAAAAGAGGACTGAGAATCACCAAACCTTCCAGTAAAAACATGCTCCCTAACTCCCAGGATAGTAGGAGGACGAATTCCATGTTTTCCATGAAATTCCTCAAGTAGATTTCTCATTTTTATTGCCTCCTCCAGATAGTTATCCTGAAGAACAAAATAGAATATCACAGGATCAAGTAGCCATTCAGTGAGTTATCATACAAAAATATTAGGCAATGTGGTCATACATTTGGCTACTTTATTTGCTTACATGAAAAAGATTGATGCAATTGAAAAGAAATAACAGGGAAACTTGATGCTGATGTATCTAGCGAACATTGGGACTAAAAACATGTGTTCATGAAAGAACAAATTTATATCATCCTGTAATATACGGAAAATAACATTGCAACCTCATGGTTCTTAAAAAGATGATCGATGAAAATCAACCTCATGCACATGTAGGCTCCATAACAATCCTATATGCTTTTTTTTTTTCTTCTTAGAAGCACTAGAATTATCTCACTCAACTTTACAAAGAAGTGTTAAAAACTTGATCCTTTTACCTCTTTTGAATTTGGACAAGAAAGTGTCTACAAAAATTTGAGGAAATCAGAAGGGTAAAAAATGCCAACATAAAGATGAGAAACCTGATTCATATCGATGGTCTGGATAGCTTCTCCGCGGGTGAAAATAATGGCGTGATTTTGATTCTCGGGCTTTCCTTCTCCAAGTTTGGGATCTCCAGGAAGTTTAATTGAATATATTTCCTGCAGGATTGTTGGAATATAATGCCTAAAGACAGTGATATAAAATGGGGGGAAAATGAAAGAACTATCCTAACAAAGAAGGGATATTCCACCACTCTTTGTTGGGCAGCTAGAGATTGTAAAGCAACTTAAGAAATTAATGAAAAAGAGCATTAGGTAAAATATTTACATACCTGATCTTTTCCATGAATGTCAGCTTTAACTAGCTTAGAATAGAATTCCTTTTTCCCTTCAACCGCTGTGCTATCCTCCGAGTGTATGAAGGCAACTCGAAGAGCTTCATTCCTAGATGCAATATCATAAATGCCCCTTAAGATTATGGACAAGAGCTCTATTGATGTGACAAGATTGCACCGAGAACTAGCCATCATAAGGAAATTCAGAGAATTCCGGTAACAAAAACATTTAGTTATGATCTTTCCTGTTCTCCTTCTATAGCCTATATACACATATATTATTCCATCCTTGTACACAAAATTCTCTAGAATTCCATGATACCCAAGGTTCTTCTGCTCACATTTTTCTTCCTACAACAGGTTAGTGTTGATGTATTCCATGTCTCTTTCACATTGTCCCTAACCGTTGTTTATGTTGCTGTCAGCCTTTGTCCCTCACAAATTTCCTCAGCTGCCCTTTCGTAATATTGTGGGACAAATGACCCTCCTAGGTGGAGTTTCAACAGCAACTTTCTCTACCACTTAAACGAATTAACTAAAAGTAAACATCCGTAGGAACAGAACACGATGAAATGGAACAAATTAAGATACCACTTAGCTATTAGATATTCAACTTCATGACTTGACCAAAATGATAGACATCAGATTTTATAAGCAAAAAGAAAGGATCATCATCAGAAACAAAAAAAAACTAAAAAAATTCCCTACCTTTGCAACAAAAGCGCAATATCAGCAGCTTCTGGAGTCTTACGCTGTTTCTGCTGTCCATAAATTTGGCATGAAACGACATATGTAAATTTGAGGTCTGCTTGAGCTCGTGCTTCGAGTGACAATTCAAACCCTCGGGGCGAATTTGTGAGAGAGTTATCATCCACTATAAACAAGAAGTTATTATTATCAATCATGCCGTTCCTTGATGCGGATACTGCAGAAAAGTTCAAAATCAAGTACCTCCCAAGCCTCGTCTTTCTAAGAAACTCTGGAGCATCAAAGCCCTTCGGTAATACATCATACCTCGCACTTCATATCCAACAAAATGAATAATCAGTCATTAATACAGAAAAAAACACAGCAATTCCATTTCGGAACCCTCGCAGCAATGAACATAATTTGCATTGAATACACAAATTGCATTTAACGTATAATTTAGTCATAAAACCAATACGATTTTATCCTGACCAGTCCTTGCTAAAGTCTGTCCACGGTACGATACCCAAAACCGAAGCTCCAAAGCATCAGTAGAACTTTCTTGAAGATCCGCATCCCCTGTTGAATCAGCTCTACCAATCCGCTCCAAAAAGTTTTCCCATTCATCTAAAGCCAGATACATACTTTTTAGCTACTATGACAAATGACCTAAAACTCCTAGCCAATGAAACATACATACCAGGATATATCTTTTGAAGATAAAAGAGAATAGATATCCCATCCTCATTCTCAACCCGCAACTCTGAGGAGCTATATAGTACAGTCTCGCTGTAGTATGGGGTAAAGACACTGTTTATAGAAATGTAACATGTTTTATGGTAAGTGAAGGAAGAACGGATGATAAACTAAATGTCAGACACATGCTACCGCACATACCAGAATGGTATCATTTCAGAAACGGGCTTTGCTGGGGGCATATCCATAAATAAAGAATTTGTAAAAAACTCCAATCTTCTCCTTGCTTCAAGATTCTTTGGGATGTTGGCAGCAGCATCTTTCACCGAAAGAAGAAGATGCAACCTCTTGACCTGCTCTTTCTGCAATTATAAACAACACATTATTTATTGCAAATGCATAAGAAACATACAACAATAGGTATGAAATGCCTTTTTGCTTCTGTATGAGCTTACAATTTCTGGGTCCCTGGGCCACTCTATCCTAGAGAAGAGACGACCTTCATTTCGAGCCCTTGCCAGAATGCCCCATGTGTCAAACTGCTCCCTGAAGAACAGAAGCAAGACGATTAGACAATTTGTCTAAGACAGTCGCCATTACAGAAAGATGCCTGGTGAGCAGGTGACCTACCTTAAATCATGAGAAAGAAGGTCATGTGTGACCACCTCATAGAAATCAAACATAGCTTTTGCGGCTCCTTTTGCAAGATCTGGAGTTTCATTTCGTATCTGGTACATGTCATTTGTTACAGAAAATATTCAGCTAAGCTGAGCAATTAATTGAACAAAACAAGATTCTGGCCACAAATATCTAACTTAAACGGTATCAGATCTTCAATATTAGCAAAAGATCTAAGGTAACAGATGTAAATACAACTATTAAAACAACGAACAGGGTATTGGAAAAACTAGCAAATAACACCTCTTATATACTTCCTGACACAAAGAATGATATTTCCTCAGAAAGTAATCACAAAATAAGAAAATAAGAGTACTTCCTCGATAAAACCACTAAGAAGAATCAGAAAATGAAGCTAACACGGGATAGATCAGAAAATAAATGCAAGCATAAGATTCACACAGAAGCAGTACCTAACAAGACAATAACAGCTACAAAACGTTTTTCACATTCCCATGTTAAAGAAAAGTTCACTTCAAAGTATAAAAAACGCATTGCAGAGAGATTAAGATAGACAATAAAGCAAGCAGTAACCAACTTTTTTGCTTTCCACTTGCCCAAACCAGCAATCAGCTATTTTCTTAGATGAAGCAGGAGTTAATACAGATTAAAATATTGAACTAGCAGTCGAGCACTAGCTTTAAAAAGAAACAGTAAGCCTGCAGGGGAAGATAACATACCAAAAGCCCAGTCAATGCTGTAAATCTAGAAACCACCAACTGAAGTTTCTTCAGATTTAAGGTTATAACAAGGGAACCCTCTTGTATACTGTTGCTAATCTCCCGAAAAATCCTTTCAACCCTATTACAAGAGCAAAACGAATAAGAGAATAAGTGTCACATGCTAAACCCCAAAAACATATTATCACAGTTGCAACAAAATGATATTCATTCCTTCAGACAAACATTGAATATCAAACAAATTGTCAGCAGGGACCGTACCAACGTCTCCCTTCACCATCAACCACAGAATTCAAAATTTTTTCAACACTGTAATAGCACTCCTGAACGGCATATGCCATGTATTCGTCCTCACATATCTGACTCCAGAGATCTTCCTGTGTTTCTTTACACTCCATGGCTAAATCAATGGCCACCAAGATCTGGAAAAAGAAAACGATGCCAGTAAAAATCACAGATATCAGCATAGAACGATGTCAAATCTTATCATATGTGCTCCTGACTTTAAAAGCACATAGATTATTTTCCAGGCTGCACCTTACTGCACAGGAGAAACAAGGGCCACTGTACTAGTCTTAGACTCCCTGTGTTGCTGGGAATTGAAAGCAAGTCCATCTCCCTATGACCAGAGAACACAGAAAACTATTCATGAATAAACGTAGTCACACAAAACAGCAAACAATAAAGGAAGTTAAACATTCAACGAAAGTAAACCTGTTACTGATATAATCTTCCTCTCTCAAGCTTTTAATTATCTCATTCCAAAATGGGGAAAACATTGCAGCATAGGCCTTGTTCATATCCTGAGAATCCTGCAAAAACACAGAGGAGTAAAAAGGTGGAAGACAGCAATGTATGCAATGGATCCAAAAGGATAAATCGATGACAAAGAATTTTACTAACCTGAGAGGCATGTCGGTCGAATGGCGCCCTAAAAAAAATATTACATGGGGACTAGTTGGTGACAGAAGAAACCAATGTAATCTTGTGGTAAAACAAACAATTATAGAAAGATTCAAGCTTCACAAAAAACATAAACCACGGTAAAAGTCAAACATAATGAAACCTTTTCACTGCTGGTGAGGCAAGGTTCTTAGCAAAAGCTTCGGGGAAACTCTCAAAACGTTTATGGACCATCTCGATGGAGCGTATCTAAAACCAAATCAAAAGTGTAGTAAAGATACCAGTAACATGAATAGGCATTTGAAATCATAAGAAAATAGCAAGAAAATATTCTTGCGTCCACCAGTACCTCGCCTAGGCGAGCTTTTGCACCCATCACGCCACCAATGATTGCTGACAAGACCGTGTACCAGATATGAATGTCCATAAGATATATCTTGAAAAAAAGATTAAATGTCATGAATCGGTGTTTTGCTACGGAAAATAGTGACCATCAACTACTATAAAAAAAAACTCAGACATAGGAAAAACAAATCAGGTATTTAATACATGTAATTTGGACAGAGCTAGACAATTCATCACTGTGATAGGAGACTGGATTCCTTCAATACACAAAAAAGATATCCATATAGAGTAACCCATACTTATTAAGGTCATTAAAAACTCATTTAGTACCGTTAACATTTTATCATAATAGTAACTATTTCCGTTATACAACTAAATCTTCTTGCTATAGTTCCCCCTCCGAAAAATTATGGTAGTACTATGCGCTTCACAGTTTTAGCTTATCATCACAAAAATGATCAACACAAGTTCTAAAATCAGATTACATGAAAAGGATCAAAAGTAACACAATATATCCCAAATACCATGACAAACATATCCCCCTTATATTATGAGTAAGAAGACGGTAAATTCTCACCGCTATAACTGGAGCCCACAAGCTAACGAGGGTCAAGGCATGATTGTTGCCTGCCAATTGGTACAGGAAAAAGAGCTATAGATGTCAATGCTTTTATGATGATAATAAGTATCAGGTTTTAGTCCGTATTTTTGGTGGTAAAATAAAAAATCTGATGTCCTTCAATTGAGACTCAACAAATCTTGCAGCAAAATGAAACAGGATAAATTTGTCAAGGGAAAGATCAAACTGCTACAAACTTCAATAAAGGGAGGTAAAATCCCCAACCAGTTTACAGAATTATCTACAAACCTGTGTTGGTTACCCCATACTAATGCCATGAGCATTAAGCCAATACGCTGATGACCAAATACTAAGACACAAGTATCTGAGCATAATGATACTTACTCTTTGAGATCAAATCATGCCATGAATATGGAAAGGGACGGAGATCGATGATAGTATTGGTGGGTTTAACAAGAGGTTTAATCTGCAACACAATGAAGATCAACCATCAGTGCAATATCATACATGTGCTTATTTAAGAGCACTAAGGTATTTCAGATTAGCTGCATAAATACAGCTTTTAAACAGTCCTTGCCTGGAGAAAGTAGGCAAATGCAAACTTGGAGGCCAGGACAACAACCCAGAACATCACATACCTGCAAGAAATTTAAAGAGAATGTTTGAAATAAGACTAACTACCAAAAAATTTATATTTCCATCCACAAACGATGCAACAAATTCCACCAAGAGCCACAATCATTGCCACCGGTTACAACACCCACTCAACCATTCAAATATTGCTTGTGAAAATTGGGACTTTCAGATGCAGAATATCAGTAATCTTTAACATCTTACCAAAGAAATGGGTAAAAGAAGCAGGTTTGTTACGGTTATATCAGCCAACATAACGCAATAGATTAAAGGTCGATCATATTTCAAAACCATTTCTTTCCTCTGATGGAGAGATGCTTCCCAAATAACCACTAATGCAAGCATCTCCAAAATACCAATAGTACATAGAAAGGAAATCTATAAATAACCTTATACCTTAAAAGATATGGGTATACAAGCAAGTTAAAAGTGCAAACCTGCAATAATCACTTATTTTCTCGAAGAGACCGCGTCCAACAAAGTATCTTTCCTGGAGTGAGAAAAAAAAAACATCAGTGATGAGAACCGTAGTTATTTTTATTCTCTGCTAAAAGTTTGAAAAAAATTAATACCTGATAGATCCACTTAAAAAACTGGAAAAATGATTGATCCGACATTTCTGACAAAGTATGGCATGCTGGAATTTTGACTAAAAGTCCAAAGAAGAGGCGAACGGCAGCATAGGAACCCAGTGCAAGAACGTATATACGGAAGTATAGGTCATTTGAGTTTCGATTATATCTTTCTTGCAGAACCTTCCTGCAATATTTGTTAACAAAAGAAATTTTTAACTCCACAACTAGTGTAGTGTCTCAACGAAAAAAAATCACCAAGTTGTTGTAGCTCACATACAGAATTTAGAGACTTACACATAAACATACACCACAAATACTGAACTCAAGGCCCACCAGAAAAACCTGATAATCAACCTGGATATAGCCATGCCTCTTGCCATGCTGTAGGCACCAAACATAAGCATGACATCAAGAAAACCTGCATAAGTAACAAGCCATAAGTGCTCAACAAAGAAGTCTAGGTACAAGTTAAATATGAAATTTTAACTATAATCCAACGAAGTTAAAAGATATATTTACACTCAATGAAGTTCATAATAGCATATGTGGGCCCAGCACTGAGTAATATCTTGAAAGTATCTACACTGAGACGCTCCTTTCTGAAGGCTATAATGGTCAAAACCTGTTGATACGTGGGGATAACAATGAGACAATTATGAATATAAGTAGAAAACAGTTCACAAAGACCAAAACTGACCTGGAACATTATCGCCAGGAAGATCCACAGTCGATGAAAACTTCGGTATAAGTGAAGGAATGTTCGATGCTCGACAAAACTGCTTTTACCCGTCTACCATTGAATTGAAGGGAAATACAGCAGTTAATGACATGGTAGAAGCACAGAAAACAGTAAGAAGATAAAAGAAGTGGTGACAATTCGATGGTGAAAAATGAATAAGACAAAACAATAAACCTCCTAACAAAAGTACGTTAATGATGATGATTTCTATGTTACTTCAAGGCAATCATACCATGAAGAGGAATTGAAATTTCCGCATAAACATAATGTCAAAAGTCGTTAATTTCATTAGAGCAAGTCTTCCCTTATATAATTTAAGTTGAAAAGAAATTCAACCCTTAACGATGATGATTTCTATGTTGCTTCAAGGCAATCATATCATGAAGAAGAATTGTAATTGCCGCATAAACACAATGTCAAAAGACATTAATTTCATTACAGCAATTCTTCCCTTATATAATTTAAGTTGAAAAAAAAACACCCCAAAAACTCTGTGATTTAACACCAGCAACTTGACAACTGATCAGGCAAAACTATTACATGCGCATATAACTCAAATCTCTATTCGGAAGGGAACTTCATAACCTGGCAATTTCGACAACTCAACCTGAAAACATATTGAAGGAAAACGGGCCCAAAAAAAACAAGAGAGCATTCATAGATAAATTGACACATAATTTGAAGATGATCAGAGCTAAATGGTCATAGAATATTGTTAAGTTCTAAAACAAAAGTCGCAAGAAAAATTGTTCATACAAAGTAAGGCCTACCCTTTTTCGCCCTTTCGGCTTCATTAGGAAAGGTGAACTGCTTTTCATAGGCCATCCTAACTCAAAGCAAGCAGGTGACCTGCATAAAAATTGCAGTTAATGAAGACTCCCACTCGAGAGAAACATAGGATTTCAAATATAGTATCAACATAAAACAAACCAAAAGTATTCATTGAAATCGTCATAATTCCGCCATTCAGAATGTGCAGCTTTTCCATTATTGTTTCGATCAGCTTCCTACAAGAATCTCAATTTCAGGAAAAAAATGTTAGAAGCTTGGCATGACCATATATATATATACTGATCCATGCCAACAATAAGGCCTTCAAATCCATCCTAAAGCATACAGCATAGCGAAAACATGCTTCAGATTCCTCCCGAACATAGACATATAAATAGGCTCGATAACAAAGTAGGAAAGCACGAGCAGAAAACAGAGAACAACATCAAATCGAAGTTTATCCCAGGAAGCTGACAGAAGATTTTGGGACAAATGATGAATTTGACATAGGCGAATCGCGGACTTCTTAGACGCACTGAAAATACAATTAATATTTCTGTCCCAATAACCACATAATAAGCGAATATGGAATCTGAAGGCAAATTGCCTTCAATTGAAAAACCAGAACAAGAATTAGAAGCTCGAGATATGATGAAATATCTTCCCTAAAGCTATGGTTGAGTGGAAGTGAACACCAAACCGATAGTTTCATCTAATACATAAACAATGCGTTAGCAAATGAACGAGAAACGTCCAAATTAAACTGTCAAACTGAGCTAATTTTTTAAAGCAAAAAATCAGAAATGAAGAGACACGACAGTTTTAGTAGTAGGAACTGACCGCTGATATTGCTTTGTAGATAGGACAGATAACTTGCTCGAGAAATGATACCGAACCGCCCTCGGTTAAGTAACTGTCAGCATGGATAGCTTCTGGATGGTCCAATTTTGCATCCAACTCCTTCGCCATCTGACAAACACAAACAATAGTTCATCAACAGAAAGATCATATCACTTCATCGTGGGTGTAACAAGGACCTTCAATTTTCACCACCCAGAGGATCACGGCAGTTAAAGCACAGCTTTATCAACAGATTTCTTTCGCTCTAGGACTGAAAATCATCTAACAAACAAGCAATTGCACATAGAAAGACATATCTTATCACTTCGGTGTGGGTATAATATCCAAAAGCATTACAAGAATATTCTTTTACCAGCAGTGGATAACAGGTAATCAGAAAACAGATTAATCAAGAGAATCTGGTTGTTTCAAGACTAAAAATCATTAATACATTAATTTAAGTGCCAGGATGTGTTTTTCAAAAATTTAGAGCAAAAATATGGAAGCAGCAGCAATCAAATGCTACAATGATGCTGACATATGTTTTCTCCAATTGATTGTGAGTAACTGCCTAGAAACTGTAAAGCTAGACATTCAGCTATTGTACCTCTCCGCAAAGATGAACAACATATTCTCCTAAACTTATAATGCGATCAGAAAGCTAGACATACAGGGCGCCTGAGGTGCGCCTTTTAAAACCAAGTTAACAACAAACTGGTATCTTACATTGTGAAAAATATAGCAGATACACTCTGGAAGAAACCGGACATTAGCAGCTTCACCCCAAATGAGAAAGTACAAGGAAACAAGAAACAGTTTCCTGTCCCTGTTGATCGCTTCTAACCTAATAAACAAGTTCAAAGGTCATAAGATTCAGTGAATAAAGCCAAAATTTCCATATCATAAAAAGATGCAGATTATACTTATTATACACCAGGCGCGTCCCCAAGTACTTGCACCACTTGATATAATTTTCCAAAACCTTCAAGAAAACCTCATTGATCGCTTTCTCATCGACTTTCTACAAAACCAGGGACAAAAAAAGAATGTAAAGAATATAAGATGGCAAACCTTTTACCAAGTTCTGATCTAACTAAATCAACAACGGTTTAATGTCAGTCAAGAAAGTATGCTAATACAGAATACTACAGTTAAGAAAGCGCTCACTGGATCATTCTGTCCAGGTATGTTAAGCCGAGATTGTGCATTTGCAAGTGTGAGAACCAAATGCTCCCGTTGGTTTCTTACGTTGTCTTTCTGAGACCAGAGTCGAGGAAAACTTATTAGCGATTCAGAAAAAGAATAAACTTTAAGGAATATTGATCTAATGATTGCCATACCTGAAACCCAAAGACGTACTCCAACAGATCAAACATATCGGCATCCCTTTGTCCAGAAATCTCAAAATCATCAGGAAGTCTAGGGAAGTTTTCAGTATATCTGATTGCGTGTATTGCACCACGCACCTAGATAGAGATTAATTTATAGTTAGCTAACAAAACATGAAAGGCTAACGATTACAGTACAAAAATGAGGACAGTTATGTAAGTTATACATATATATTGTGGAATTACCTCAGGGAAAACACCTATTGCATTGGTCATTGACGGCGCTTCTAGCGGAACAATGTTGTAAGGAGTTAGTTCCGCAGACAAGGTTGCATCAGCCTTTTTAATTCGCCGTAGCTGAAACCATTAACATCAAATATCAATCAGCTCATACAAAAAAGTATACAATATGGCTACCTTTATATCTGAATAAATATGTTGATAGCTTCAAGAAATATAGACAGAGATGTATCGATACAAGAATTGCTTCAATGACATTTCACATAAAACAGACAGTAAATTCAGATCAGAAGCGATTTTAAAAGTTAATCTTGAATTACTGTTCACTATATGCTTTGAAAGCTTGCAATCACCGAAAAAAGAAGTGTGAAGCCAATCAAATGTCTTTTGAACTGCCCCATACGACATGAGAGAGAAAATTACCTCCTCCCTAATAGACCTTCCAACGCCTTCTGGATCTGCATCTTTGCTAAGAGCTTCCAAGACCTCAATTAAGGCTCTCAAAGTAGCGAAGACCTTCCTCATCTTCAAGATCCTATAACAAAGAGGGAAAAAAACAAATCGCCAGTCCAAGAGATGAAAAAGTCAACAGAAATATAGGTGAACAAAGACCATAACTAATACATAACAAGAGAACCTAAGAAAAAGTTCCAGATTCCCTCCACTTCTGCACCAAGAAACCCTCACTTAAATGAAAGGACATCCATAGACACCATTCAACAAAAGAGGCATGATTCCAATTTTCAGTATCTCATCTATTTTGCAAGTATAAAACTCTCAATCTCATTCAAAACGAAGAAAATTATAGGGCTCTGAGATGAACATACTCCCCCACATTCGAAGAAAAAGTTCCAGATTCCCTCCACTTCTGCTCTTCTCGTTGGATATCGTCAACTCGATGTCGCCTTTTATAAAGTTGGTAAAATTCCCAAAGCCGTTCAATATCACGATTGCGATCTATTGGAGCTCCATCTCTTTTAGCAAGTTTTTGCTGCAAAATTGGTTATCCCTTCAATTCAGACAAGAATGCATGCAGCTGGCCTTAATTGTAAAAGTAAATCAAGAAAGCGTGAGTTTCACAAACATAAACTTTTATTTGGATACCATTCTTGGTGTTAAAAAAATCCAACATGTACAGGTACAAACATGAGCATGGGACATCATTACACAGTTATATACAGAGAAAACAAGATACAACAGTGAAGTATTATGTACAAGAACATATACCAATCAAGATCATAAAAAGTACCTTAATCACAGACATCAAACCAGTTTTGAACTGAAGGACACCTCTACCATCACTGTTAGGGTCGAGGTTCTGTGCCATAGAGTATGCCTGTTCACATACTAGATCAAACAAAAAACATGTCAGGAAAATCAAAACACGCAGAGAGAGCACTTGAATGTGTAAAGGTGCATATACAACAGGGTAGTACTGGTGCAAATTAATTCTAAAGAAGATTAAACTCATTGCACATTTGACAAAGGATGAGCTATAAAAGAAAGCAGAACTCATAAAACCAAAAATTCAAACAAGTGAAAATAAAGAGATGCATGTCAACCAGTAAAACTATGGAGAAAAAACAAATTTTACTCTCTCAATAAATTGGGTAGACAATTAGTTCTACAACATCTGGCATCTGATCGTTATATAACATGCAATCAATTATCCTATGGTGAAAAAATTATTTGTTTTTGTAATCTTCATCCTTTAGTAAAAAGGGACAACACGGTCTGATTCCATCTGGTCTATCTATCATTTCTCATGAATCGCATTCCATTGCAAACCACTGACCAAAGGTACTTGCTCAATGGATGGTATGCAGAACCTCATGAATCGCATTCCATTGCAAAACCACTAACCAAAGGTACTTGCTCAAAGCATAGTATGCAGAACAATTTATCTGCCAACCGTACTCTCTCTCTTCTCCAACAATTACGCATAAACCCTAAATGTAAACAACAATTCAGCTGCACCACAACGCATAACCACTCCAAAATGTTTTTTGAAAATTTGCACAGAAGAGATAAAACCCAGCAAATCTACACCGAAAAGCTCGATTCGGGCATATAAATATCCAATCCATGGGAAGAGAACTTACGAATTCTGGCGACATTTGGATCCTCCGACTGAATCTCATCGGCAGCTTGTAAGATGGCGTCGATGTTGGTGGCGCGTCCGAGCGACGGCGGGACAGCTCCGGCGAGTCCGCTAGGCTTACGCTCGTGTCCAGCATGTCTCAGCTGCTCTCTCTTCAAAGTGGCTCGAACGAGCCTGTCCCAATTATCATAAACCCTAGCCATACCGGAGGATCAGGATTCGAATTCCCCCACAGATTCAAGCTCGAAAAGATCTCAAATCCCTAACGATCTGAACAGCATGACAAAAAAGACAGAAAACCAAACGAAGATAACGGGCTGCAAGAACGAATCGACCCGATCTTGGCGGTGTCCGATCTATGTAAGGATGGACTTTCTTCTTTTTTTTCTTTTTCAATTTCGAAAAGGGTTCCTGAAGAAAAGTGGAGCGTCTTGTTGGTGATTTACGGTTTTACCCTTGTCATTGAGCCGTTTCATGAGGGCATATCGGTCACTGTCCGAGTTGACCCGCGTTTGCGAAACGGTTTGAGTCGTGTGACCGGCATTTGGGCATTTTGAAGTGTTTATTATCACCGGTCAATATTTTGAATTATGTTTTATATAACATCATATAGAAAGAAAGTTTTTACAAGGGAATATTATTTCTGATTTCTATTCTATATGTTTAATTGATTAAATTAGGTTTTTGCTACAGAAAATATTGGTTTTTTAAATCAAAACAATGGGTGACAAAAAATACAATAATAATAATAATTTTGAAAACCATTTAAAGGTATCTAAAATCACTATATAATATTCTAATTATATCTGTATTTATATATATGAAAAATATTGAATAACGTCATTTTCTAATATATTCGCTATTTTTGGGGGTTGCAATAAGAACAAACATTGTTCATATATGATCCCTTCTAAATGGCCATACATACACATATATATATACACATAGATGCCATTATAATTACATATATTTGTCTAAATTATAATTGGTTTCATAAAAAAAAAGTTAAAGTCCTTTTGAGATGCACCGGTTAAGTGAGTCATTCTCAAGATTTAGTGGTTGAATCTAGGTGTGGACGTTTCGGGAAACAGTTCGGGTTCGGGATGGGAATGCATCGCTTCAGTTTTTCGGTTTTACAAAAATAGATACCAATCGATTTTTATTTTATGTTCGGTTCGGTTAGGTTTCGGTACCGATTCGATTTGGTTCTGGTTTTTATTAAAAAAAAAAGATAGATTTCTTTTAAAAAATGCGTTTTTCCGAGATTTTTTAAAGTTCGATTTGGTTCGGTTCGGAATATTCTGTTATCTAAAAAATAATATCGTTCGTAAACGGTTTGGATCGGAAAAATATCGTTTTTTTACTTTGGTTCCGAAGAACCAAATCGAAACGGCCAACCCAAGTTGAATCTCATATGAGGGATTTAGAGTAATATCTTTTCTTCCATTATTTAGACTATGATATTTAGACTATGACTCGTGAGTAGGGATGGACAATTCACTCCAGGAATTTAGTTTCAAGCTGATCCAAACCAAAACTGAATCAGATCGAATCGAAACAAATAATGTCCGATTCTAATTTGGTACATTTTTTTTATAAAACGGAATAAATTATTCTCGAAACGAACCGTACAAATATCGAAGCGAGTCCGACAAGTAGGGGTGGTCATTTGGGGTTTCGGTTCGGATTTGTTTCGGTTATATTCGGATTTGGTTATTTTAGTTATAGAAAAACTATAACCATTCGGTTTTTATATAAACTTCGGTTCAGAGTCGGATCCACTTGAGAATGAGTGGGACACTAGCCCCCACTAATTTTTATTTTTAAAAAAATTATTTATAGAATTTAAGAAAAATTCTGAAAAAAATACCGTTAATGCCCCACTATAAATTTTGTGTGGACCCTACCGTTTTTCATTTTAAATGTATTTTACGTGATTTAACAAATCAAATCTTATGTCTCGTACTTTTTTTTTCTTGTTTTCCATTTTTTAAGTGATCAAACAAAAAATCATTATCAATTGAATAATAATTAAAATAAAACTAAAAATAAAAAAATTTAAACATATTTAAAAATTATGATTGTTATTTTAAACAATTTTTATTATTTTTATTTATTTGATTTTATGTATTTATTATATTTATCAATTTATCTATATATATTTATATATTATTTAATTTTTTATTTGATTTATTAGAAAAATCGATAAATTTATTTTAAAATAATTTGGCGATAATATCTTAATATTGTGGTAAAATTTTAACGAGAATACATATTTTTTTTATATTTTTTTATAGATTGTCTGATTTATTTTATCTTAAAAATATATTTAAAATAATTATAAATTGAATTATATAAATATATTTAAAAAAATAAAAAAAATCGTAGAATTCAGTTATTCGATATAAATACTCATTAGATGATATATTTTTATTAATTTTTGTATATTATATATATTACTGGAAGTGGGCGAACGGTTCGATTCGGGTTAATCAGTCACGGTTAATTCGGGTTCGGGTATTTCGGGTTTTGAAAATTTATAACCAAACGGTTATTTAATTTTATTCGGTTCGGTTTCGGTTTGGAAAGGTTCGGTTTTATATACTTTAAATTATAACCAAATTATAACCAAATAAAAATTCGGTTCGATTCGGTTCGCTTATAATATTAAAAAAATGTTTGAAACGTTTATAATAAAAAAAATATCCAAACAACATTTAATATAAAATACCATCATAATCTTCGTAACATATAAAATGACAAATCTAAATTTATATCATAATTTGTTTTGATGTAAAACAACAAAATAAAAAAATTTAAATAAACTTTATCCTTTTCAAATGTTCATATAGCACAAAAATTAAAAATAATAAAATAATAATGAAATAAATTGAAAATAATAAAATAATGATTGAATTAGAAAAAATTATATATCTCGATTTGTTATATATTTATACTTTTTTTCTAGTTAGATTTAACATATATTGTATATCAATTAGTGATATATAGATGGATAAACGGTTATATTCGGTTTATTCAGTACGGTTAATTTGGGTTCGATTTATTCGGTTTACGGTTATTTCGGGTTTGGTTATTTCGGGTTTTAAAAAATCATAACCAAACATTTATTTAATTTTATTCGGTTCGATTCGTTCGGGTATATATCGGTCGGTTCGGTTAATAACCGAAATACCCGAACCGAATGCCCACCCCTATATATTAGTAGATGTTGCCCCCGGTGAAAAATTTTTCTGGATCCGCCACTATTTCGGTCCTATTATTTTTCGGTTCGGGTTCTTCGGTTTCGATAAAAAATCATTTTTTCAAAGAAATTATCGGGTTTTTTAGTTATTTTTTTTTATTCTGTTCAGTTTAGTTTCGGTTTTTTCGGGTTTAAAAAAATAATAACTGTTCGTTTTTTATGTCAGATTCGATTCGGATATAGTTATGTCTTATTCGGTTCGGTTCGGTTATTCGATTAATAATCGAAATGGCCACCGCTACCGACAAGTATCGAATCAAAATCCGAATTATCTACCAATATATATATGTAAATATTATGGTTTGGTATTCATATAACGATATTGTTTCAAACCGTACCGATATTAAAACCGAAGCGAAGCGAATCGTTTAACATTCGTTTCTAGTTTGGTACAATTTTTACAAAATCGAAAATATCATTTCTGAATCAAATCCCTAGAATATCGAATCGAAACCCGAAACGTCTAACTAAACTCGTTAGAATGGAGTGTACATTTTGATATAATAGATCTAGAAATAATCTATTATGAATTACTAAGTAGTAATAATGTGACAATTGGATTTGAAGAACACTCCATAAAAAATTGTTTCAAACTTTCATATTTTTTTATTTAGAAATAAAGAAACAATAACATTTTCAACAAATTATATATAGTGATAGAAATATTTCCGCGATCTAGCCAAGAGATTCTCACGCTATCTCCTTGGTAATGGGGAAGATATATTTTTCTGGCTCGACCATTGGACCCCCTTGGGTAGGCTGATTGACACACTGGGTACCAATGGCCCGACTGAGTTGGGAATTCCGAAATTTGCTAGAGTTTCGTCTGTGTTCCGTAACAACCGTTGGCAGATTCCGAATCCGAGATCTGAGGCGCAGATAAGGCTACTAGCATATTTTTTAGACATCTCTCCGTCTTCCAACACCTTAGACTCATTCCAATGGATAGTGGGATCGATTTCGTCGATAAAGTTCAACTCGAAACTTGTCTGGAACCACATACATCCCACTGCTGATCCGACCCCATGGTTCACCTCAATCTGGTTCAAAGGTTACATTCCAAAGCATGCCTTCACGGCTTGGGTTTTTATGTTGAACCGCAACCCTACTAGAGATTGTTTTGTGGCCTGGGGAGTTCAGGTTAATCCTAATTATCCCTTTTGTAATGAATTTGATGAATCACGTAACCATCTTCTTTTTGAGTGTGTTTACACGTGTGCGCTGTGGTTGAGAGTTTTTCGGCGTCTTAAGATGATTCAAGCTCCTTTGGTTGGGATGGTGTTTTGACGTGGATGAATGATGGCTGGGACAATAGAGTTTCTAGACATATTGTTCTTCTTACTTGGCAATCAGTTGTCTATACCATATGGGCGGAATGCAACACACGAAGTCATCCCTCCATTTTACTCGGACGTGGATACTGTATTTCAAGCCTATGACAAGACACTTCGTCATATGGGAGCTTCTTTCTGGAACACCAAATCGGATTTTGCGTCAGAATTATTGCAAAGATGGTTTGGATAATCATAGAGATGGTTTCGGTTTTGGTAATTGATTTCTCGACTTTGTTGGGATTTCATTGTCGGGGTTTGATAATGTTTAAATCAGGAAGATGTAGGGCGCAAACCCTGTTCTGATTATTTTGGCTTTTCTCCATCTCTAGATAGGATGTAAAAGCCATATATGTAACGTTTTTAAAAGTAAATGAAATACCAACCTTTGACAAAAAAAAAAGTACAAATCTTATATATAAATAGTAAGCTTTAAAACCATTTGATGAACTAACGTCAATATCCAACATGCCAATTTTTATAAAATGATTGACTTGTAAATATTTATATCACTCTTTAGTTAAAAAGTAAATTATTATACATTTAATTTAAAATCATTTTTCATAATTACTCCATGTTAAAACCAAATTACATCCTAAAATAAATTATTATTGATATTAGTGATTTAACACATTTAATAAAATGAAACCATTATTTTTTAAAACGTCCAATATAATAATTTTTAAAAAAAACTTTAATAATTATTATTTAAATTTAGTGTTATTTTAAATTAGATCTATTGATTTATAAACAACAATAAATAAACTAAGAAATATAATAATAAATAAATTACTATAAAATATCAATATAAATATAAATAAAATTTCATATCATATAAAATTAATAAAAAATATATTTTTTCTATATAAAAATATCTATATTACTTTTTTACTAATTTCAACAAATGTTATAATAAGACAATGAGAAAATCCTATAAAAAAATCTGAACTTCTCATTTTTTACAAACTAAAACCTAACTTTATTTTTTTAATCAAAACTCAACTTTATTTTTCAGTCAAAAATAAATCTAAGTTTTAAAATTTTTGTCATTTTTAAACATATTGTTGACGTGACGTGTCGATATCCTACATGGAAAATCAATATTTTGACACGCTATTATCCACATATCATGATATCGGAATGTTACGTTAACAATAGGTTTAAAAAGATTTAAAAATGATAAAAATTATAAAGTTCGGATTTTATTTTTGACTAAAAACTTAAGTTGAAGTTTTATTTGTTAAAAAATAAAATATAAATTTTATTTTATAAAAATTGAGAAGTTCAGATTTTTTTTTAGAGATTTTCCCAGAAACAATCAATGAAAATCTTTGAATATTAATATAATATCGATATTTATTTATGAGAGTTTTGGATATCCGAAATATGAATACCCAATAAAAATATTAGAATTTCACCGATATCCAAACCCAAAAATCATTTTAAAAACCATAAGTATAACGAAAAAATGCCTAATATAAGTTTTACAATCAAGGCAGGGTCATATACACGAAAAATTTAGGGTACTCAAATCTGTATTCGAAGACAAAAGAGTAAATATAGAAATTTAACATATATATAATCAATAATGTACACGTGTGAACACAGTATAAATCCTTTGGTATATTCTGTGAACCGGTCTGTTGAGAATCTGTTGGTTTACCTTAACCAAAGCACTTGAATGTAGAGTTTACTGAACCAAACCGAACCAATATCTGCTAAACCGGACAGAAATCAATCACAGAGTAAACCGGAAACCAGAAACTCAACAGAACAAACAAGGCAAAAAGGCAAACGGAAGCATCTGTTGTTCTGTTGATGTTGATCTTATCACCTTATTCAACAAAGTGAAGGAAAGAAAATGGAAGAATGTCTAAACATATACGAACAACATTGTTCTAACAAAAGAAATGGCCCGACCGATCGAATCAGGATTTTATTCGTTAATCCAATTGCTCTTACCAACAGCTCCTCCTCCAGTTCCGTCCTGCAACAACAGCTCTTTCTGCTGCCGCAACTGATTGACTAGCTTCCGAACATTTGGAATTTGGAAACGTTCCTTCGCATGTCTCCTATCTGGAGCTTCTTTCACGGCGGTCGGATACGGCTTAGGTGGAGGTTTCTTCCCTTGCATTCTCGCAAGTTCCTTCATCCGTTTGTACGCCTTCTTCTTCGCCCTCTTCTCCGACCGGTATTCCATCTGAAATAGAATTATGCAAAAAACAGCGACGAGGTTGAAGAAAATTAGAATCGAAACTAACCGTTCTTTCCTTTTGTTTATCGGTCAAGAACCGTGCGAAAAAGAAGAAATAGGTACATCAGCCACAGCCATGGCTTCTTCCTCGCTAATGCCATGTTCCTTCAGTTCAAGGACCCGCATGCCAAATACACGCTCTGGATCTGGATTACATGACACGATCCTGTGGAGATACAAAATGTCAAGACACCGCATTAATGCAGGGTTAACTCAAAAATCGATCTACATTACTGGGCATGGAACTTATACGAGAAATGCAGAGTCGTTGTTTCACTGCAGATGCATCGTCATCGACCACAAAGATTATAGTACATATGCTATATCAGATGGTAGATTAGAAAAAAAAAAGGTTTCTGGATTCTCTTTGATAGTGCGGTTTGGTCATAGCAATATACACACATCCTGATAAATAAGTAGGAAATGCTCAGAATCAGAATGACGAGGGATCTAGATAGATATGACTACCATAATAATTTGCAGATGCCAAATCAAAACCCGATTTCTCTTAATATTAACAAATCTTGGGATATCCTGTAACATAGACAAAGCTTGAAATCGGGCATAATACAGAAAAACAAGATCTTTTCCATCACATGTTTCCCAATCTATCACAAATTGATTGCCCAAACTACTCTCTTATCAGTACAACAGTAACAACACTAACAACTCATGAAGATTGAACTAATACAAGCCATCACAAAATAATGCAAATGGAACACATAAGAGTGAAAAGAAATTACTTGACGGGGCCTTCATATTTTGATTCAGGATACTTGTTGTAGAATTTCCGCACATACATATCCTCTGGAAGAACAATCTTCTTGATTTTGCCTTCAGATCGAGGAAACACTGGAGGAGGTGAACTGCAATCCGACAATTAACAATAGTTATGTCAGCAACAGAGCCTAATGAGTGAAACATATATGATTTCCAGAAACATTCAAAAGTTTGTACCAAGCCTCAATGGCATCGTATGGAATAAAACATAAACCCTGAACCCTGAATATAAAAAAACAATACATACAGAATGCAAAAATCTAGACTTTTCAACCAAATCCATTTGATTCCAATCAAAATGGAAAACCCATAAGCGTAAAATGCAAATAAATCGGATTATGTAATATCGAATAGATAAATCGACCAAAATCATTTTTCTTCTCTTGAAGAGAGAGAGAGAGAGAGAGAGAGAGAGAGAGAGAGAGAATACGCTTCCATGGCTTTGAGCCATACAGGCTCTCGTGTAACCAAGCCACCAACAAGCTTCCTGGTCTTGGAAAGCAAGTCTCCTTTCATCCACGACATGGTCGCTGCTTACCAACCAAAATCAAGGCAAGATAAGGACCAACACTAAGTCATAAATCAGAACCAGAGAGTTGTGATTGAGGAACAGCTGAAAACGATCTGAAAATCATGTGCTAATTCCATTAGCAGAGACAAAGCAAGGAAGAAAATTCTCGGGTTCGAAGCCCCTTAAAGTTAGTCAACACCAAGACACTGATATGAGATTGTTCAAATTCACCGAAATCAAAGGGGCAAAGACAGAATTACACATTAAACATGTTAACTTTTGAATTGGAATTAGGCAAACCCCACCAATGAAAACAACTAGAGATAACTAAATTAATCTGCAAACACAGCAAAACAGAAAAGAAAGTTCTAAAACACTCAAGCTTCTGTTCGGAAATGGGCAGAACAAGACTCAGAATAACAGACAAAATCCCATCTAACCATCTAATATCAAAGATTCAGAGACCCACTCATTCAAAAAGCTACAAACCAATAAATCGACAAGTAAAACAGAGGAATCACGCCGAGCCGTCATCATAAGCGAAGCTTCCATCAAGCATCAACAAAGCCTAAACCCTAATCCTAACAAAACTCAAACAACACTAAACCCCAAAACCCCCAACAGGATCAAAACTCTAAATTCCCAACAGAAATCCTTGAAACCCTAGCCTTACAAAACTGACAGAACCGGAAAACCCTAACCTTTTTTCGACGGAGAGGATAGATAGAAAACAGGTCTGAGAGGAAATCGAAGAATAGCCGGAAATCACACCGGGAGAAAAGGTGAGAGAGATAAAGAGTCAGAGGTTTTTTCGAAGGCGGAAGGAATGAGGAGAGAGAAGAGCTATTTTGGTAAATATTTATAAATCAAGGGGTATAATCGTCATTTAACCATAATTTATGAGTAACCTATTGCAGTATTGCTGCAGTTTGTTCGGCCCGGAGACTTGGAGGTGGAACTTGTAACTTGTAAGAGCCATCACAAATGATCATATTCTGTTAAATTCTACGGAAAATGACATTTTCCTACACCGACTTTTACAAATGACTTTTTTATACACGAATTTTTAATTTGACAAAAAATTATACCAAATTATCAAATATGTCAAATTAATATACGAACTACCTAATTTAACTGCAATTTTCTACACAATTCGAAAACGGTGTTAAGTGTCCGTTAAACGCTGACGGTGTATATATATTTGTATTCATATATATACGTGTATATGTATTTATATATATATATATGTATATATATAAATATATTTGTATGTATGTATATGCATATATATTTGTATAAATGCATGTATATATGTGTATATTTTTATTTGATATATATAGAAATATATATACATAGAAGTATTTATGTTTATATTTGTATTTATATGTGGATATGAATATATATATATATATATATGAATTTTTTTATTTTGTATGTATGTATGTATGTATGTATGTATGTATATATGTATGTATGTATATGCATATGTATATATATATATGTATTTATATATGTATATGTATATATAAATATATTTGTTTGTATGTATATGTATATATATTTGTATATATATGTGTATATTTTTTTATTTTGTATATATATTTATATTTTTATTTGTATATAGATATAAATATATATGTATATATATATATATATTTTTTTTGCTGTTTATTTATTTTATTTTTAAATTTTTTTAAAATTTCGATTTTTTTCATATTTTTTTGGATTTTTTTTAAAAATCCGACGTGGCATGCTGATGTGGCAAAAAATCTATGTGGCGTGCCACGTCAGCCGCTACGTGGCGTGCCACGTCAGCGGTTAATAGACACTTAACACCGTTTTCGGATTGTGTAAGAAATTGCAGTTAAATTGGGTAGTTCGTGTATCAATTTGACACATTTGATAATTTGATGTTGTTTTTTATCAAATTAAAAATTCGTGTAGAAAAAGGTCACATTTTATAAAGTTGGTGTAGGAAAATGTCATTTTCCCTATATATTATTAAGTCGAGAAAAGCAATCATATTATCTAAAATTACATTTACAGCCCGACATTTCCTGGAATGACAATTCAGCCCAAAACTCCCAGTTTCAAAGATAAAAAGCTCAGTCACGCTCACACAGCATTGCAGATGAACTCCTCACAATGATGTATTTCAAGGAGATATGATGCCAAATGCAAGTGATATGAGCTCATTCGACAAGAGGAAACCATATGGGTCACTCAACCTAAGGTACCTCACATGATCCTCAATCCTCACTCCATTATTATCCTCAATCAAGGCTTTGAATTCATCGCTTGCCACCTCTCTTCTCTTACCATCCAAACAAACAATGTGCCCACTCTCCACGTAAGGCTCATAAGCCTTACACATTCTCTTCACAATCTCACTCCCAAAAGCTTGTCCGAATTCACCCAGTTCAAGCCCTTTGGCAGTTCTGAAGGATAGCATCACAATGTCCATGGCCACATCCTTGAGATCTACACTTCCGTCACCGCACCAATTCGCTGTCCCGTTCTCCAGATCGTGAACGTAGCCCGCGTATTCCTTCAGCCTCCTCGGCCTTGAAAATCGCAGCCCTTTAACATAGCTAGCTGAACCTAAACCGAACGCGTAGAACGGCTTGTTCTTCCAGTATATCGAGTTGTGCTTGCACTGGAACCCGTCTTTGGCGTAACTGCTGACCTCGTAGTGATCATAACCGGCTTTCCGGAGCATCGAGGACGCTGTTCTATAGAATTCAGCGGATTGTGATTCTGAAGGAAGAGGGAATTCCCCTGGCGTGAACCTGCAAAAGTTTTTACTTTCAAATTACAACAAAATAACAATCACCTAAAGCAATAAAGCAATCAACTTCAACTGCCACTCCGGCTACATGATCATTCCTGATGAAATTTTGTTTTTTTGTATAAACCTTTATGAAACTTAAGTTCGATATACACAACCTGAGATTCAGTATGGTAAACTATCTGGTCAGCACCATATTCATTCTCCCTTTCTACTCGGAATGTGAGATTCTGAGCGTTTTTCCTCTTAAAGAGCTAGAAACGAATTAAAAGGAGGTCATTTGGCTCCACTTACACGTTACCAAACTTTGTGCCTTGTTCCACTTGCAGATCATACACGGAAACATGCTTGGGTTGTGCTTCAATGGCTAATCTCAAACTCTCTTCCCACATCTCCAGCGTCTGGTGGGGGAGAGAAGATATAAGATCCATACTCCAATTCTCAACCCCGCATTTTTGGACAATCTCTATTGCCTGGAATATCTCAGAGACGCCATGAGCTCTCCCACAAGCTTTCAAGAGCTTATCTTGAAATGCTTGAACTCCCAACGACACTCTGTTCACTCCCAATTCCACCAATTCCTTCAGCTTTTTGGACCCAAACGTACCAGGATCCATCTCCATTGATATCTCAGCACCTGGACTCAACCCGAATTTCGATCTCAAAGTATCCAGAACCGAAGAGACAAGCCTCGGAGGGACGAGGGAAGGGGTCCCTCCCCCAAAGAACACCGTCTCTAGATCCGGGCTCGTATCAAAATCCGTTCTTGTCGCGTTTATTTCTCTGACGAGCAAATTCACATAGCCCGAAATTCGTGGGTCATCATCATCTCTGTCTTCCTCATAGGCATTGGAAGAACTGATAGACGAAGTGGAAGATCCAAGAGCTACAATGGGGAAGTCACAGTAGTGGCAGCGTTTACGGCAGAAGGGGAGATGAACGTAGGCCGAAGTTGGTGGCCCTTGGTGTAATGTGGTCAGATTCGTTGACGCATTTCGTCGAACACTTGGTGAAACATCCTGTAAAACCACTTTACAAGCTTCAGTGATTAGCTTTGAAGCCCTTGGTTTCCCTGGAAACGACGAGAAAATCGGGAAAATCGTGGATTTGAGCATTATCGATACAGAGCGACAGAACGAGAAAGAGAAAGTGGAGGGAATTCGATTTCATCGAGCGTCGATGTGATTTAAAGGCTTCAAACTGAACGTCGTCGTTTTGGAACTGTTAAATTCAGTATACGGACGAATTCTGGTTTTCGCACTCTCGCCAATTCTACGTCCATGGCGGAAGAGACGAGGCATCAGCAGG